GTCGTACTCGCCTCACAGCGCTGTCCCATCCCTGCGGACCCCTCCACCTTGACCGTGATCCCAGCCCTGACCATCCCCGCGCCGTGGCCATGCTCGCCGCTGCCCGTCCTTGGCCTCTTTCCCGCAGACCTGGCTAATGGGGTCCCTCGCCTGCTCATCCCTCCCTCGCCTCTGCCCTTTCGCTTCCCAACACCGTCTTCAGTCGTTCAGTCGCTCTTCTCCGGCTCCTGTCACTTGGAACAAGTATCAGTGCCGCTATCTCAGGGTCCGGCCGCCTCCTAGCCAGTGTGTCATACCACAGGTGTCTACACGTCTGACCGTTCATACGTCCGTCCCTCCTGGGGCCGGAACTGACCATGCCCAGCGGCTGCTGCTGCCTACATCTCATGTGCCTGCTGTGCATCCTGGGGGCGAGCAGCCAGCCAGCCAGAGGTGAGCTCACCCCAGGGATCGGGTCGCGGCCCTGTTAGCCGTCCTCGCTGGCACGTTGACCTCTGCCGGCTAGAGACGGCACTGCAGCCTTTTGGCTGGCGAGTCTAACTACGGAAACCTCTGCCAAGTCCCGCGGAGCCAGGAAGCCAGACCCTGACCCAGACTCACACCTACTACACCAATCTCTTTCAGCGGATGACTGCAGCTCCCACTGTGACCTGGCCCACGGCTGCTGTGCTCCTGACGGCTCCTGCAGGTACTTCTGCTGCACACGTGCCTCAAATTCTTTGCTCCCACTTTTCGACTCTCCATACCCGTGAGCAGGTCAAAAACCCGAAACAGTGTCGAAAAGCTTAAGACTCTATTGCTGGTTTTCACGCAACAGGATGGCCATTCCCCCACCTCCATCCTCCCCTTATCTCCTTTGCCCCTTACTGGAGAACTTGGGCATTCGAGTTTTTAATTCTCTCAAGGGCTTCGGTCCCTCATGATGCCTGTAGAGAACCTGAAGCTTGGAAGTTTAGAGACTGAGAGCCACAGGAAAGAGGAAAATGAAGAGAAGTGTTGCTTGGGAAGAAAGGCTCAGGGAGGATGGGTGTTTTCTTAATGAATCCTGCAGTTGTCTCACCAAGGCAGCCTGGGCAAGTTCTGTGGCAGAAGAGTTTGGAGTGCTGGAGCATTTGAAACTAGACTTCCTTGGAGGACTTATTTAAAAAAATAATAAATTACCTGGCAGTGGTGGCACACACCTTTAATCCCGGCAGAGGCAGGTGAATCTCTGAGTTCAAGGCCAGTCTGGTCTACAGAGAGAGGACAGCCAGGGCTACACAGAGAAACCCTGTCTTGAAAAAACAAAAATGAAACAACAAAAGTCCTAGTGATTGTGAAGTGAGGCCTGTGAGTTGGAGGCCAGCCTGGTCTCCAGAGAGAGGACAGCCAGGGCTACACAGAGAAACCCTGTCTTGAAAAAACAAAAATGAAACAACAAAAGTCCTAGTGATTGTGAAGTGAGGCCAGGATGATCAGAATTCCAGGTTAGCCTTGTCTACTTGAGACTCTGATAAGCAAAACAAAACAAACACCAGCCACTAGTTCTGGAGTCTGAAGGGAAGACAGACCTGGTGACTTCAGAAGGTCACTCACTATTTCAGATGTGTGTCACCAGACACTCCAGGGATGGCACCAGAGGCTTTTACAGACAGTTTTGTTTCCTTAACAATACCTTTCAAGGGAGGTGTTTTCTCACTTCCATGTGAGAGAACTGATTATGAGAAGCTAGATGCTGAACTTGAATGCTGTTGTCTGTCTGCACAGCCCTCCACCTACCTGGGGCTGGTCTGCTTTCCCTTTGGGGCTGTTGTATGTCCTACTAGTTCTAAAAGCTCTGCTTATAACACACACACACCTACACCTTGATTCTGTGTTTTTCCCCCACCAGGTGTGACCCAGGCTGGGAGGGGCTACACTGTGAGCGCTGTGTGAGGATGCCTGGCTGCCAGCATGGTACCTGTCACCAGCCCTGGCAATGCATCTGCCACAGTGGCTGGGCAGGAAAGTTCTGTGACAAAGGTAGGATGGAGGAGCTATTGGCTATAGAGCCCATATGTTCTAGAACATCCATTAATATTTACTATTTACTGAGCACCTCTTGTGTCTTGTTCAAATCCTCTAATATATCCTTATTGATCTCATTCCTACTTGATATCTGAAAAGATCCCCAACATCACCTCATGATGTTGGAAAGACAGCTGGTAAAAAAAATTATACCCATTTTAAACATGATGAAACTAGTACACAGAAGGGCTGTATCTTTTCTAAAGTCAGTTTGACCCAGACTGCCAGAGCTGAAGCCAGGAACTTCCAGAACCCAACTTCAATATAGCTTTCCCCAGCATACCATACTGGCTGGGGGTGGGTCTAAAGTATGAGCCACATTCAGAGCATTGGATCTGGTCCACATGGGTCCTGGGTACCAAATATGAGGGGCTATCCCACACTCTTCTTATCTCCTCTCTAGATGAGCACGTCTGTACCTCACAGTCACCCTGCCAGAATGGAGGCCAGTGTGTGTATGATGGGGGTGGTGAGTACCACTGTGTGTGCCTGCCAGGCTTCCATGGACGTGGCTGTGAGCGCAAGGCTGGACCCTGTGAGCAGGCAGGGTGAGTGCTGGGACCCTGGGGAAGCTAGACTAGAATCTGGTGGTAAGGAAAAAGGCAGGACTGTCAGTAGAGTAGGAGACTGAGAGTCAGACCCACACAAGGGCACCTCCGGATAAAAACCCCACTGTGATAGTGTGCCAGGTTCAGATTCTCAACCTCTTTTTCCCCCATTTTATGTGTATGAGTGTTTTGCCTGCATGTATGTCTGTGCACCACATCAGTGCTTGGAGGTGGTGGGCCTCCGTGTGGGTGCTGGGAATCGAACCCAGGTCCCCTGCAACAAGAAGTGCTCTTAACCACTGAGCCTACTCTCTAGCCCCCCAGATTCTAAACCTTCTTCATCACAGATGGTGTTTTGGTGGGAGGGTGGCATGGGAAGAGAGGCTCCTGGGATTCCCTTTCCTCCTTACAAAAGCAGACATGCAGTCTAAGAGCTGGCTCTTCCTACGGATTATGAAACGGCCACAGGGCTGGACTTGCCCCATTTCCGCTAGGGCATAAGAGCCTATGCAGATAATAGAGCACTTCTCTGAGCCTTGACTTTGGGCCTGACTGTGCACTAACTGCTTGGGTTCTCTCGTTTACCCACACGATCTGGCTATTTTTATTCTCATTTTAAAAATAAGGTTATCTGAAACTCAGAAGGAGCAGCCCAAGGTGACACAGCAAGAAAGGGGTGTCAGTGGTCAGGACGCTGACTAGCAAGGTGACACCAATGTTCTCTCCACCTTAGCTCCCCATGCCGGAATGGCGGGCAGTGCCAGGACAACCAGGGTTTTGCCCTCAACTTCACATGCCGCTGCTTGGCAGGATTCATGGGTGCCCATTGTGAGGTAGATGTGGATGACTGCCTGATGCGCCCTTGTGCTAATGGTGCCACATGTATTGATGGCATAAACCGCTTTTCCTGCCTCTGTCCCGAGGGCTTTGCTGGACGATTCTGCACCATCAACCTAGATGACTGTGCCAGCCGCCCATGCCAGAGAGGGGCGCGCTGTCGGGACCGCATCCATGACTTTGACTGCCTCTGCCCCAGTGGCTATGGTGGCAAGACTTGTGAGCTTGTCTTACATGCTCCAGACCCTGCCACAGTGGGCACCCCACAAACACCCACCTCTGCTGTAGTTGTACCTGCTACAGGGCCAGCCCCCCACAGTGCAGGGGCAGGCCTCCTGAGGATCTCAGTGAAGGAGGTGGTGCGGAGGCAAGAGGCTGGGCTAGGAGAGTCTAGCCTGGTGGCCCTGGTGGTGTTTGGGTCCCTCACTGCTGCCCTGGTCCTGGCCACTGTGTTGCTGACCCTGAGGGCATGGCGCCGGGGTATATGCCCCACAGGACCCTGTTGCTACCCAGCCCCACACTATGCCCCAGCTCGGCAGGATCAGGAGTGCCAGGTTAGCATGCTGCCAGCAGGGTTCCCTCTGCCACCAGACCTGCCCCCTGAGCCTGGCAAGACCACAGCCCTGTGATGGAGGCAGGGGCTTGCTGGGCCCCTTCTGAATCTTCTTCACACATCAGACTGGAGGTCCTGCCTCACCAGCCCTTGGCTTTGGTCTACTCTTCTAGGGGATTTCAGACTCACACCAGAAATACTATTTTTTTTAAAACACAGAATGTAAAATAGGAATTTTATCAAATAAAATTATGAAAGTGAAAATGGGCTTCTATGGAAGAAAAACTGGCACAGAATTTGGGTGAAGAGGCCCATGGTGGGCCAGTTCTGTTCTGAGGAAGCTGTAGCCTTCAACCCACCTGTGTGTGGTTTACAAGGAGGAAACCTGGGTGCCCTTTCCATCTGGGGAAGTGGAGGAGAGGTAGAACCACAGAGGAAATGTAAATGAGCAGCCCTGGTGGGAAGAAGCATAGGTCCCCACAGGAGGCTCAGCGTCCTGCAGGGAGGGAGTGGGCTCCCTGCTGGCTGCTCTGTAATAGCTGCTGGAACAGTGACTGGGGCTGTTTGCGCAGGACAGCAGGAGAGTCCAGTTCTACCACCCTCCCGGCTTGGAGCACCAGCACTCGGTCAGAGTTTAGGATTGTGTTGAGCCTGTGTAGAAGATGGGGTACAATGACCTAAAGAGAAAGCTGACCCAATTTCCCTCCAGACTGCACAGGCTTGTCCCCCACAGGTTAGAGTCCCTGGGTCTGTGCTGTGGGAAGAATGGTGTTTTCCCAGATAATATGCTACTGAGAGGACCTGGAGCTGTACCTGAAGGAAGGGGAGCTGAGGTTCCCCAGGCCCTGATCACCTGCCTACCCAATGCTGTCCCTGGAGTGTGATCTCCCTGCGTGGGAGGGGGGTCCTTGTAAGGGTCAGAGGTCTGCCTCTACTGCCCCTGAGCATTCTCACACCTGTGGGCAATAGTCAGCACTGTCTTGTTGGCAAAGCGTTTGCAGATGGTTTGCTGGAGCAGCTGGTCTGTCTTCTGGTCCACACTTGCTGTGGCCTCATCAATGCACAAGATCTGGACCACATGGAGCAGGGAGAGGAAGGAAGCAGGAGAGGGAGAGACTGTAACCTACCTACAGTTCCCCATCTTCAGCTTTCCCTCGAAACCTCTCTATAATCCACCTTCTCCCCCGACACATCCCTGCCTCCTGGATGTCTCTTCCTCTTGTCTTACCTTGGCATCTGTAAGAAGAGCCCTGGCCAGACACAGCAGCTGTCTCTGTCCCAGGGACAAGTTCCGGCCCCTTTCGCCCAGCTCTCCATCCAGACCCCCTGTAAACAGACCAGAGCACCTCCACTGTTGCTGGGCCACCCTTTGCTTCTCAGCTGCTCCTCAGGCCAGCACCCAGACTCACCCACAGTGACGATCACCTCGCGCAAGTGGCACTGCTCTAGGGCTTGCCACAGGGCCCTGTCCTCATGTAGGCCCTGGGGGTCCAGGTTCTCTCGAACAGTCCCACTGAACAAAAAAGGCTCCTGGGGGATGACAGCCAGCTGGGACCTGGGGAACAAGGAACGGGGGCCAGGCTGGAGATGTGCCCATCTTCTTGTGACACAGGTTTACCTATGGGGCCTGACACTTCGAGGTAAATCTGGGGATGAGATCCAAATATCACTCCTGCTGCTTCCCACCCTTTATCCACCAAATTTTCACTTAGCCAGCCACATACCTAGAACAGCACTGGTACCATACTGTGAGCAGTACCAAAGAGACAAAGGCTTAGACTCTGGCCTTAAGGGATTACACCTCACTGAGGTGTACAAAGCCAGAGAACCAATAGGCTAAACTGTGGCATTGACCCCAGAGACAGCAGAGGTGAGGCAGGAAATGAGAGAGTGGGAATGGGATGGAGACACTTTTAAGTGGGAGGAAGCCAAGGAGCCAGAAGGTAAAGCCATACTATAAAACCATCAGGACTTGAGAGAGGACAGAGGAGGCAGGCAGGGAGCTGTGGGTGAGGATGAAGCTTCCTTACCCTTCCATTTTGTGGAACTGGGAGAAAATGATGCTAAGTTAAACTGGGAATGGGTTGGGGCATCTACAGCTTTAGATGAGATCACTTGTGGCCAAGTACAATCGACCCAGGCCCCAAGTTGCCCTTTTACTGCCTGCCAAACCGCAGGCCTGAGGGCTCATGGCTGCTGAGAGGCTCTGCTTTAGAAGCCAATGGCTAATGTTTGGAACAGAAGGCGTATTCTGGGAAGTGCAAGAAAGATGAGGATGGAGATGTACTCAAGCTGGGGTCACAGCTCACCTGTCCTGACCTGTCCACCTCATCTTCCTTGTCTGCTGATTGGCTGCCCTGAGTTTCCTTATACCTTCCTAGAGTAGTTCCCACTGCCCTCCTCCCTCCTCCAAACCACCTGTCCCCCAGACCTGAGCTCAGCCAGCTCCAGCTGGCTGGTGTCCACACCGTCTAGCAGCACCCGCCCTGCGCTGGGCTCCAGCAGCCTGAAGAGCACCAAAAATAGGGAAGACTTGCCAGAGCCTGTGCGGCCTACAATGCCCAGCTTTTCTCCGGGCTTCACTCGGAATGTCACCCTGTCCAAGGCATTTGGCAGCCCTGGCCGATACACCAGCACCACGTCCTGGAACTCCACACTTCCCTGGGTCAGCCACCTGATGCCCTGGCGGGGTGTCTGTGGGGAAGAGGTAAAGAAAGAAGGGTGGCAGGGATAGAGTCAGAGGATGGGAAGAGGGAGACAATGAAAAAGGGCCGGAGTGATAGCAAACGGAGGGATGAGAGGATGGACACGGGGACGGGTGCCATGAAGAATGGTGGCAGGCAAATGAAGAGACTCAGAGATGTGCAAAGACAGCCAGGAGCGAAAGGAAAAGAGCTGGGAGGACTGGAGGAGCCCCCACCCTGCACCCTGCCCCAGGGTCAGCAACTGCCCAGCGTGGCAGGGCAGACTCACCTGCAGTGGCTGGCCTTGGGGCTCCTGGGGAATGTCACAGGAATATTCCTCCAGTCGCTCGACACTCACCATCATGGCTTCCGTCTGTGTGAAGCTGCTCACCAGGCCCGAGAGCAGGCCCGTCAAGGACAAGGCATAGGATAGCACGAGGCCCACCAGCCCTGGGGGGAGGGAATGACATCTGCTAGGGGACACCTGGACATTGAGCAATGTGTGGCAGAGAGAGTGCAGAACGAGAGAATCTAGCCTTGGACTGTAGGTGTTCAAAGGCAGAGGAGCAGGCCGATGACAGAGAAGGCTGGGCAGAAGGCTGGAGCACACCTGGAGAAGGAATCTATGAGGACAGCAGGTGGGGACTAAAGAGGAATGGGGCAGAAGAGAAGGGCTAGGGGTAGGAGCCAGGAAAGGATGACCACAGAAGCCTTGGAGTGTTCCTAGACCCACCACTGCCTGGGGATTTCTTAGATTAAAATGAGGGTGATAATGGTACTGCTGAAACATCCTCACAGGGAACTCTGGGTAGGAGGTGACAATGGTACGGGATAGGGGGAGGGAGACATGCCAGAGGGTCTGGTCGAGGATCTGGAATGACCTACCCCTACAGGAGGGGTGACAGGTCCCAGGGTGGTACCTGGGTTGGCAAGGCCCTGCTGGTGTTGCACAAGGGCAATGCCTGCGATGGCGCTGACCACTGCTGCTCCCATGAGCTGCAGTCGAATGTCCAGCCACTGCATAGTGGCATAGGAAGCAAACTGGCACCTCTGGTTTAGCTCCAAGAGTCGCTGGTTCTCCTCCTCAAACCTAGAGGAACCCAGGAAGGAAGGGAAGCCACTCCTCTGTTGCACTGATCTCACCCCTTCCCTGTGTCCTTCCCGGAGGCTGACCTACAGACCCAAGCTGCTCTGCCTTACTCTCTTCTGATTTTCACACTTCCCCCAGGGTCCTCGCCCCTCTGTCTACCCAAGGAGGACAGGCTCCTTTACTTCTAACTCTGTTCTGTAGGCTCCTCCATTCCCCCCCCCCCTCCTTCCGGACTGGCTGGGAGATGCACCTGTAAGTGGCCCCTGCAGCCCGGAGCACCGGGAGGCCTGCCAGAGTGTCAGCCAGGTGGGTGTAGAGTGGAGACAGGGTGAGGCTGCCCAGGCGCCGCAGCTCCCGGAAGGAGGCCCTGTAGCGGCGCTGCACACAGTAGTAGACAAAGCTCAGAGGTGGCAGCAGCAGCAGCAGCCAGGGCAGACCAGAACCTAACACAATCAGGAGACCCAGCAGGCCTACAGCATTAGCCAGCAGGATGTTGAGGAGGAAGGGCAGGCTGTCGTCCACACAGGCTACATCTGAGGAGAATCGGTTCAAGACTCGGCCTGAGGGCGTGGAGTCAAAGAAAGTCACAGGTGCCTGGAAGAGGGAGGTGGTTGGACAAGGTCAAGGGCTGAAGAATAAGAGTTGGTGGACAGGTTGGTGAGGGGTGAGGAAGGAAACACGGCTGGCCGTAAAGAAAAAGAAAAAACGTATCCCCAAAGTGTGGGAATAGAGGGATTGGTGGAACTTGGAGGGAACTGTCTCAAGGAAAGAAAGACCCAGTTCCTCAGGCTTACGGAAGCCCAATATGGCCATGCCAAGCACTCATCACCCTCTGGGATGGACATGCTTAGTGTTCCTTCAAGATGGGCACTTTAGGCCAGCAAGTGAGCCTTAGATGTCAGGAGGAAAACCCTGCCTGTGGCTGGCTTGGAGAGTGGTTCTGCCAGTTAAAGGTGTGGCAAAGGGCTCAGGCTCTGAGCCTGGCCATGCTGGTTCATGCATAGAATCCCAGCACCTAGAGGTGAAGGCAGAGAACTAGGGACTCAGGACCATCCTCAGATATACAGTAGGACAGAGGCAAAAAGAAACCCATCTCAAAAACAAATCAAACCAAAACCAAACCAAAGCTCAGGTGGACTTAGACTGAAACTTGAATTCCAGGCCTGTCACTTAGGAGACGTGAGACCCCAGACAAGGAATGTGTTTCTCTCTCCAAGGGCACTGATCCTCATCTTAAAAATGGGGCCAACAGAATATTTATTCTTCCTACTCTAGGGAGTTCTCATTTTCCATAATAAATCTATGCTCAAACTGTAGTAAAAAAATGTGGGGCAGTCAGGCTTGATGGCACACGCCTTTAATCCCAGTGCTTGGGAGGCAGAGACAGGGAGATTTCTGTGAGTTCAAGGCCAGCCTGGTCTACACAGCAAATACCTGGACAGCCAGAGTTGCATGGTGAGACCTTGTCTTAAAAAACAAAAAGTGAGGATGATAATGGAACCCCATGTCACAAGACTGCCACTACAGTCAAAGCCCTTACGAGAAGCCCAGGATACTCAGCATGTGTTCAGAAATTGCTACTTGAACTACTGTTGGGAGTTACAGCCTCCCTCAACTACTATTCTTTTCTTCCCCATCTTTCCTTTCTTTACCTTCATCTGCATTTACAGTGGGAACAGTCCCATGTAAGGCAGGGGACTCCCAGAGGCTACTGTATGGACCGGGAACGTGGAATGCAGTCCATGCACTGGGGGAGACAAGCCTGGGGATACCTTCTACCTTCCATCACCTCACCGTGAGGAGTCGATGCAGCAGGCGGTGGTGCAGCGTGACAGCTGCTTGAAGGGCACCTGCTGCAAAGAGCACGGCCCGGAGAAGGGTGCAGAGAGTGTTGACGCCAGCAATGGCTGCATACACGATGAGGTAGAAGTGGACATCTGAGGAGTCATTGGAAGCAGCTTTGGACAGTGGGATGCTGAGTAGTGAGGAGAAGAGTACAGGTAACCCAAGACAGTCCACTCAGGGGCCCCTTCCCTTCTCTAGGGCCACCTTTCCCACCCTCTAAAAGACACAGCTCCGAGCGGGCCCTCACTCCCCAGCGCTTACTGGAGAGCACCAGACCTGCTCCCAACCTCAGCTACTCACTAGAGGTTTCTGGAGGAGAAGAGAAGCAGCGGCGGGGAGAAGACCACTGTGGAGCCTGGGCTGGAGGAAGCTGGACCCTCCTTGGAGCTATTCCTGCCTGTCTTCAGCTGAGAGAGCCAGTGAGAGAGCCACCAGTCAGCACCATTGCGTGTGGCTGGACATGGATGGGAAGGGAGAAGTTGCAAAGACTCATCTGTTTGGCTCTACTCAAACACCCACATTCTCAAGACCACAGTGGAGTCTTCCCTCTCCCACACCCCACCCTGGGCCTCCACATCATGCCACCACCATCCTTGGTCCTTCCTACTGTACACTGTTCCTAGGCCTGTCACCTGTCAGCTCCCTGGACAACATGACCAGTTTTGCAGATTGGAACTTGCCTAGATGGCAGATCAAAAGATAGCTGTGGAAACCCAGGGTAGTGGTGCATACCTGTAATTTCCATAAACAAAAGCTGAGGCTGGGGGATTGCAAATTCAAGGCCAAACCAACCAACCTGAGCTGCCCAGGGAGACCCTGTCTCAAAATCATAATACAGTTTTTAAAAAGATGACTATGGCCAGGCCATGGTGGCACACGCCTTTAATCCCAGCACTTGGGAGGCATAGGCAGGTGGGTCTCTGTGAGTTCAAGGCCAGCCTGGTCTACAAAGTGAGTTCTAAGACAGCCAGGACTGTTACACAGAGAAACCCTGTCTCGAAAAACCAAAAAGATGACTATGATGGGGCCTGAAGGGAGGGCTCAGCAGTTAAGAGCACTTACAGCTCTTGCAGAGGACCCAGGTTCAATTCTCAAACCCACATGATTGTTCACAACCACCCGGAACTCCAGTTCCAGAGGGTCTGATGATGTCTTCTGACTCGTGTGCACCAAGCACACACATGGTGCACCTGCATACATGCAGGCAAAACACTCATACAGATAATAAATTTTTTTAGTTAAAAAAGAGGACTATGATGGGGTATGAAGTCTAGCTGACCACTGGAATCCGCATAATTGGGACACACTTTTTGTATCAACGGTTGTCTATGCATGGTAAGGTTCTGGGTTTGTGGTGATTCTAAGGTGAATACCGTCATGAACACTTGGACAGTGTGACTGGGGATGCTGTGGAGGGAGCAGGTAAGGACCGTGTGGGGACACTCTCACCTTGCATGAGAAGTAGAGAGATGAGGATGGCGATGGCCAGGCCACTGCCCATGGCCCTCCAGTATGCTGCATACACACGCAGGGACACAGCGCCCTCATATTTGCTTTCTTCCTGCACTAGGCGACCAGATGTGCTCTCCTCCACCTCAGGCCCCTCTGTTGTTTTCTCTAGGTTCTGTACTGATAGCGACTTGCCTGTGAGAATGAGGAAGACCTCAGAGGAATTATGCTTGATATGTGAATGTTTTGCAGGAGCAGGCAGGCTTTAAAAATCATTTCCATTGTGTGCTGGTAAAAAGCAAGAGTGACTTCCAGGACAGCCTGGACAAAACAGAGAAACCCTGTCTTGAAGAAAAAAAAAAAAAAAAAAACCAACCAAACAAAAGCAGCCCAGGACTAGAGAGGGGCTTGGCAGCAAGCCTCTGACAAGTGTGACAGGGCCCTGAGTTTGACTCCTAGGACACTGAGGGAAAACAAAATAAACAACAAACTTTCCCATGTGTGGTGACACACACCTGTAATCTCTTGAGGCCAGTGTAGGCTACTCAGGAAGTTCAAGGCCAGCCGGGGCTGTATAGTGAGATCCTGTCTCATGTCTTCCATGACTCACATATAGACAAAAAGGAAGAGGGAATAATTCTAGCCCCTTCTTCCCACCTCTGGGCCATACCTGAGTCAGTCAGTTGTTCCTCCTCAACCCAGGCTGTGGGGACAGCTTGAACCAATGGCAGAATCTCAGAGGGAGGCCCTGGAAGGAAGAGGGGGAGGAGGCTGTTATGGGTCTACACTATTCTTTCTAAATGTGTGAGTAATCCACCTTCCCCTCTCTCTGGCCATTCTCCTTAGCCTATCTGAGTAGGGCCCATTAGGAGCACTGCTGTGTACCTGGAGTGTAGCCAGCAGAAGTTCCACAGCCATGAGTAAGCACCCCACCGCCACCACCTGCACTGGGATCATCTGTCACTACTGCAGAGCCTTTGCTCAAGTTCTCACTCAATTCCTGATCTTCCAGCTGGGCCTCACTTCTTCCTGTTGCTTTACCAGTGAGCTCTGCAGGAGGCTATGCCCATCTGGACAATAAATAGTTCATCGCAGCCCTGCAGTTCTTTTCTTTACAAGAAGGTTGTTCCTCCAGGTCACTGCACACTTCTCTGAAGCCACATGACTGCTCTCAAAGCTCCCAGGCAGCTAAGTTCTAAGAGCTCAGGTCCATTGCCACACTTGTCCCCCACCCGCCCTTCCCGTTCTCATGCTGGTTCTGGGGCGGGGGCAGGAAGACTAGAGAGCTGCATTCAGACTGCATGTGGAAGGGTGGGACCTGCTCTGCCCGTGACCCTCCACCTATATTTCATATCACACCAGGGCAAGTGTTTTCTTCATCACACTACCTGTTCGGACCAGGTGCCCGGCCTCCATCAACAGCACCACGTCAGCCCTCTCCAGGTACTCAGTGCGGTGGGTGCACAGCAGCCGGGTGGTATGGCTCAGCACTCCCAGGATGCACCTGTGTAGCAGGTGGTTGGCCACATCTGCATCCACAGCAGCCAAAGGGTCATCGAGGAGATAGAATGCTTTCTCCTGGACAGAGTGAACATGGCAGGCACCATGGCCCAAGTTCTCTAGCTAGGTAGGCTTTCCTAGACCCGGGTCTCAAGGCCATCAGAAATGGCAGGTGAGAACAAGTCTACAATCATAGGAAAGAGATGATATATGAGAGACTTCTCTCCAGCTGAGTGTAAAGTCAGAGAAGTAGGTCTAGTGCTTTGCTGGGCTCCAGTACCTCAGGCCTTTATTTTTGCCTTGAAACCGAAAATGGGGGCAGGACAGCCAATAACTAGGAACACAGAGTGAGGGAGGAAGAAAGCAAATGCAAACAAAAATATCCCTAGCCCCTACTCAGCCAAGCTCACACAGTGCTAGACCACTCCCATACCCCTGACCTACCAACCCACACCTCCAACCTTAATTTACCTGGTACACAGCACGAGCAAGTGCAATCCTGGCCCGCTGTCCCCCACTGAGGGTCACACCCTTCTCTCCCACCTCTGTCTGGTCTCCAGCAGGCAGGATCTGAAGGAACAGATGCCCAGTGGTTAACAAACTCCCCACACCTACACTTTTCCTCTCCCTTTGTAGGAAAGACAGAAAACGTGGAGATCAAAAGGCTTTACAAGCTTGAGACTACATTTGAGTTTGGGACAAGGAGATAAGCCCAACTCCAATGCCTGGCAGCTACTGAACACTTTCTATGTAGTTAACACCTTCTAGGCTGTGGTGGTTTGGATGAGAATGGGCCCCATAGGCTCATTTGTTTCAATAGTTTGTCCCCAGGTAGTGGAACTGTTTGGGAAGGATCAGAGGTGTTACCTTGTTGGAGGAGGTATGCCACTGCAGTGGGTCTTTGAGGCACAAAAGCCAATGTTATTCCCAGTTAGCTCTCTTTGCTTTGTGACTATTGTCTCAAGAGGTGACCTTTTCACTACTGCTCCAGCACCATGCCTGCGCACCTGCTGCCATGCTCCCTGCCATGATGGTCATGGACTAACCCTCTGGAACTATAAACCCTGATAAACTCTTTCTTCTGTAAGTTGCCTTGGTGTTTTATCACAGCAAAAGAAGAGTAACTAAGACATAGGAATTGTATCATTTGAAGCCAGATCTTATAAAGTTGGCATCATTTCCTCTTCACAGATGGGCCCAGAGCACAGGTAGGTGAACCATCTTGCCCATAGGATGTGAAGCAAATGATAAACAGGCACAAGATGCCCCTTGATCATACTCAAAGGCCTCCTGCCCAGGGAAGTTACATATTTATCTAAGCAGGCCAGTGGTAACAACAGTCCTAGAGGGGACATGGAGACTTGCTGGAGAATTCATAGGAAAAATCTGATTTCTCTCTGATGTTTTTAGTAGTTGGCTTGTGGGGCTGGGGTAATCTAATGGGCTCAGCAGGTTTCCCAAGGATTCTAAGCAAGACCTTGATTCTTCCAAACCTTCCTAGGTGGCTGTAGGCAAGCTTCACAGAGAACCCTCGCCTAGTTTTGGAGGCCTCGGGGGCTCTTCCAGTGCTGTGTGCAACACCCTCCCCATCCTCCTTGGGCTTTACAGGAAAGTGGGGACCAAACAGCTAGACACTCTGGGAGCCCAGAGGCTGACTGCTTGCTCTAGTTGAGTGACACTTGTGCAGAAGCCCCTCCCAGAGAAGTAAGTCTAGTCTGGGCATATGAGAAAGCAGGGAGGTGAGGGTATCAAGACAGGGACTCACACTGAGATCATCATTGAGGGCGCAGGCCTCCAGTACTTCCATGTACAGCCGGGCATCAAATGTCTTCCCAAAGAGGATATTGTCTCGGATGGTGGCACACTGGATCCAGGGCTCCTGGGTGGCCAGTCCAAAGCCTTTGGACAGCCCTGACACAGCCACCCACCCACAGAGCCTGCAGAGAGCCAAGGCAGCATGGGGACCAGCTCCTTTTGAGTCCTTGCATGCCCAGGTCCTGTCTCCCAGAAGCTTCCTCAGATGTAACTAGCAGCCTCTAAGGTCAGGGGTTCTAGCTGTGGGCTCACCATGGACTGGAGAAAGCAGTTCTTTGGTTCCAGCCCAACAGTGTCCTCCGGACACTGTGGAACTCAGGTGTGGCTCATCCTCACCTCCTGATCTTCTTGTTCTAACACAATGACTCTCTACTTCAGTGGTTCTCAACCCCAAGCCCATTGGAAAACATGGGTATTTACATTATGAGTCATAACAGTAGCAAAATTACAGTTATGAAGTAGCAACAAAAATAATTTTATGGTTTGGGGTCACCACAACATGAGGAGCTAACTGTATTGAAGATTCACAGCATTAGGAAGGTTGAGAACCACTGATCTCAATGATCTCCCCTGCTCCATTTATTTAGCTAGTTTTGTCTGATTTTTTGAGATAGGATCTCATGTATCCCAGGCTGGCCTTGAGTTTGCTGTGCAGCCAAGGATAACTTAAATTTCTTATCCTCTTGCCTCCACCTCCTGAGTGCTGAGATTATAGATTTATACCACTACACCCAGTTTTGTGTGGCACTAGAGATGGAACTCAATGCTTTTGTACAAGTTAGGCAAGTGCTCCACCAATTGAGCTACATCCAGGCCCAGATTTACTGTGACTACCTCCGCATCTCCAGATTGAAACCTCCCTAGAAAGTGGCTGAATTTTACCCTTTTTGGTACATGTGCTCCCCACCCTTCCAAACACACATACACACTTACCCAAAACATTCCCATATACAGCAGGGACCCAGTAAATGGCTACTAAACAGTTCCAGAGTCAGGAGTACACTGAAAGTTCATTACCTGTGGAGCTCCCCAGTGATGGCGGCCAGCAGCGAGCTCTTCCCACAGCCCACCTTTCCCACGATGCCCACCAGCGCACCCTGCAGGGAAGGCACACATCAAATACTGCCTGATTGCAGGGGAAGGGCACACGGGGTTGGAGCCATAGTCTCCCTCATGATGCTTTTGACTGATAAACCCCCAACTGATATCTCTCTGGCCTCAGTTAAGTCTTCAGGGAAGATGCCTCTCTACCCCTCAGACCATGGGGGCCCCAGTGACTGCCTGCATCTGCCTCAGAGAAGATGCATGCCTTAGTCTCAATTTCACTACCTGTAAAAGGCTCTGAGGGAACAAGACCTTCCGGAGAGGAGAGTAAAGTATCTAGGGACTCCTATAGTCTGCTGAGGCAGGTATGGGAGGAGGGATTCCTGTTTCTGGGGCCATTGGGCTAGGGAACAGTTCCCATGGCAGTGGGCAAAAGGCAGTGCTCTGCAACACACCTTCTTGAGACCTGAAATTTAAAACATTCTGTTCTTCCTTCATTTCTTAGTTGCAATGTCCAGTCATAGAGCTGTCTCCTGGGTCATGAAGAAAATCTAGAAACGTGCAGGGGTCTTTGCAGCTTTGTCCATCATGCCTACGTTATGCAATTCAGGGCCAACCTATCTGCAAGTGGGCACTAGGCTGGTCTCTGATCTTTCTGGAAGTGAGGGATCCAGTCTCACGGAGCTTCTTTCTTCTTGACTAGAGCCTATGAGTTGGAAGACTGACTGCAGTCACACTTCTGCTCAATGGAGAGCCCACAGACAGCATGAGGCCAATACACAGGCAGAGAGCCAAGAGCGCTGCAAGTTGAGGCCTGGTTCTGGGCTGCTTCTAAGATCTGCGTTCTTGTTGGGACTCTGTGATTCATCTATGTATTCTTATTACAAATTCTTGTTTGCTTAGGCTAGCTCCAGTGGGTTTCTATGAGTTCCATCTATCTATATATAAAAAACCCTACACATTAGTAAAATTCCTTTGAAAAATTCCAGCCTTGTCTTGCCTGAACTAAGGAGAAAAATAAAACATTCAACAAAAGCTAGAAACATGAGCCAAATGTGGTAGAGGCCATTCAGCTACTGCTGGAGAACTCTGGGTTGAGACACAGGGCAAAGGGTTAGACAAAGGTCAGGAGAGCAGAAACTCAGGACCAGACTGAAGAAGTCACTGTCCTGTTGGAATGTCCCATTATAAGCTCTTTGTGGCATCAGAAGTCACAAGGGGTGACTTTTTTCATGAGACTACGTGGGGGATCACCTAAGCTGTTTGCAAAAGTCCCTGAAAGGGACTTCCAGGTTCCCAGCCTGAAATGATGGTGGAAAAACCTCAGGATCAGTTCTGAACCCTGCAGCTGGAAAGGGATACTAGAGGGGAATCAAACCTGGGTACTAAGTGAGTGTGGGCTGCCTATATTGGGAGAGATGTGACCAGTGTGAGAAGATGGGTTGAAGGAGTGAGATGCATACATAAGGGGTTGTCTTCCCTCAGATCGGAACCTGCATACCAAGCCCTGCCCTTCCTTCCCTTCTGGGGGGAGCTACATTAGTCCTTGTGTAACCTTTGGACATCCTGCTTTCCAGGGACTCTCCCAGGGTGTCTGTCCCACAAACCTTTTTCACTTCGAGGTGACTGATGAAGGTCTTCTGGCTTATTCCAACCGGGTCCCAAGAGAACAGGGCTTCATGCAGCTCCAGTGCTGTGGATGGCTCTGTGGGGGGATCTAAACAGGAAAGAAACCACTCATGCTATGATCCTCATCCACCATTCATCTGCTGGGATGTGGTGGGTAAAGCATTGGCGTGCCACTGAGTCACCTAGCCCTCATCTACTGGCCCATAGCTAATTCACCCCGAGTCTGTTATGTCTGGATTTTGTTTCTGACTTCTCTGGAAACATCTATGCACAGTAGCCAAGAGGCTAAGGCTGCAGAGATGACTCAGTGGTTATGTGCACTCTTCCAGTTTGGTTCCCAGTATCTACATCATAAAGCACATGCCTGTTCACTTTAGTTCCAAGGGATCCAGTGCCCTCTTCTGGACTCTATGAGTATCTGCACACATGTGGTACACATACATACACTCAGATACACAGAAAATAAAGTAAGTCTTAAAACAGAAAAGATATCAGCCCCTCACCATGTGCTGGGTTCTTCCCTCGAGTCCCCCTTCCTTTACCAGGGCTGTAGTAGGCCTCAGGGCTGTAGTTTGGAAGGTCTAGGAAACGCTGGATCCGGTCCAAGGATACTTTGGATTCCAAGAGGCCATTGATCACCCAGGGGAAGTTGTTGAGAGGAAGAATGAGCAGGCGCACGAGCGCCAGTGCCGTAAACACCTAAGTGGGGGTGAGGGTGAAGCATTTCCCTGAGTCTTGCTCTAGGGGTAGCCCTGTGGGCAGATCTATGGAGGCAAAAACAGGACAGCAGCAGACCTGAGGAGTTGCCTGGGCTACCTGGTGTTAGAAATAGCAGAGGGCTAGCCTGGTCTACAGAGCAAGTTCTAGGACATCTAGGGCTACAAAGACAAACCCTATCCTGACCCCCCAAAAAGGCAGAGATGGCCATTCTAAGAGTCCTAGAAATTCTAAATGTTCCTTAACAATGCAGGTTACTATTTTTGTTTGTTTTTTGACACAAGGTTTCTCTGTGTGACAGCCCTGGCTGTTCTGAAACTTGCTTTGTAGACCAGGCTGCCCTCTAATTTACAGAGATCTGCCTGCCTCTACCTCCCAAGTTAATTAACAGCGCCTGGCTGCAGATTACTATTTTTGATGCTGAGACAGACACAGAGCCTCCTCACACATGGTAAGCACAGGCTCTAACATGAGCTCTGACATCTCTCCAGCCCTCTACAAACTCGGGTTGGAGAGATAGCTCAGAGATTAAGAGCACTGAGTGTTCTTCCAGAGGTTCTGTGCTCTTCCAGAGGTCCTGAGTTCAATTCCCAGCAACCATATGGTGGCTCACAACCATCCATAATGAGATCTGGTGCCCTCTTCCAGCCTGCAGGCATACATGCAGGCAGAACATTATATACATAATAAAATCTTTAAAAAAAAAAGAAAGAAACTACAAACTCACACATGGTAAGCACTGGCTCTCATGTGGAGCTGCACATAAACCCCCAAGCTTCTTTTGATAAGCACATAACCTAGGTCACTCGGAGACTTCCCATAATCTCTGAGTGACAACAAAGGTCACTAGCCTTGGCCAGACTTAACACTAGATTATGGATCCCCTGCCCCAAAGACTATGTTAATAGAACTAAAGTGGCCTAACCCCAGTTAGACGGCATCATGAGCTTTACAGGGAGACCTTGTCTTAAAAAAAATTAAATAAAGCCAGGCGTTGGTGGCGCATGCCTTTAATCCCAGCACTCGGGAGGCAGGCGGAGCCCAGCCTGGTCTACAAGAGCTAGTTCCAGGACAGCCTCCAAAGCCACAGAGAAACCCTGTCTCGAAAAACCAAAAATAAATAAATAAATAAACAAACATAGAAAAAGCACTGTTCTACAAAAGGAGTTAACCCCACATCTGGGCTTGAATGGAAATTGAAGCTAAAAGGAGAGGAAGAAAGGAATTCCTTCACACACACAAAGAGCTATATATCCAAGATCATAGAAAAAATTCCCTCAGAGAGTACCCTGTTTGCTGGAAAAGGACAAGGCAGCCAGGGGTCCTCTTTCTTCCCCACCCCAGTTAACACTGAGGGCCTGAGCCCATATTTCTACTCCATAGTAACCCTTGCCATTTCTTCCTAGGGCCATCCACTCTCTCTATGCTGGCTGGTTTTATGTCGACCTGACACAAGCCAGAATCATCAGAGAGGTGGGACTGAGAAACTGCCTCCATAAAATCTGGCTGTAGGCAAGCCTATAGGGCATTTTCTTAGTGATTGATGGAGAAGGTCCAGCCCATGGTGAGTGGTGCCGTGGTGCCTGTGCTGGTGGTCCTGGGTTCTATAAGAAAGCAGGGCAGTAAATAGCTCTCTTCCATGGCCTCTGCATCAGCTCCTGTCACCAGGTTCCTGCCCAGCTTGAGTTCCTGCCCTCACTGCTTTTGATGATGAACTGTTACATGGAGCTGTGAGTGAAATAAACCCTCTCTTCCCCAAGCTGCTTTTGGTTATGGTGTTTCATCACAGCAATAGTAACCCTAAGACCCCTCTCCAGCTCTTACCTTGGTAGCAGTGAGCTGGTGCCCCATGAGGACATAGGTGATGAAGATGACAATGCAGATGACAACTGGCAGGGCAGCCCACAGGTATACACAGGCTGCATCCAGGTATTTGATGACCCGGAGTCGTCCCAACTCTTGAGACCGGTAGGCCTTTACTCGGTCCCCCAGAGCCTGCTCCCACCCGAAAAACTTGATGACTCGAATGCCATTCAGCAGCTCTGTCATGAGCTGGAGACAAGAGAGTGGTGTCAAGCTGAGGCACTGCTCACACACCTCTGATTAGCTGCTGGGTGGGATCTCTATCTGGCTGAAGGACCCCAGAAGCCCCTTACCTTAACTCGTGCGTCCTTGTGCCGCAGCATCTCCTGATTGCTGGACATAATGCGGGTGGCAATCACTTTGTTGACAGGTACCAGCAGCAGTGCCAAGACCAACCCAGCCACGAAGGCCATGCCCACCTGCTGGTACAGCAGGTAGAGGGTGATGGCCAGCTGCAGAGGCAGGCCCCAGGCCTCATGGAAGCTGCCAGCAAAGTTAAGCAGCCGCTCAGAGTCGGTGCCTAGTAGGTTCAGGGCCTCCCCAGTGGGAGGGCGGCTAGGCCCAAGCTGCAGGGCCTTGCGGTAGAGGATGCTCAGCACAGCCACCCGTGCCTGAAGTGTCACTTTGCGTACCTCATACCCATACTGATTCTGCAGCACGGCACTTATCACAGACCCACTGGCCAACCCCAGGACATAGAGCAGGCCGTGGCTTAGGGGCTCTTGCCCTTCCTCCAGGAAGCCTACCAGTAGGGAGAGCAGTAGAGGCCCAGAGAATGCCAGCATGGTTCCCACCATCTTCAACAGTCCAAGGGCCAGGTAGCAACATCCAAAGGCCCCATACAGGGCCCTCCACAGTTGGGCCCCCTCCTTCCAGTGTGCTTGGAAGGTGCGGGCCAGATAGGCAGGATGTAGCCTTCCAGGGAGTCGGCAAATGTCCTGGGGTTGCCGGAGTTCTCCACGGACTCCGCGAGTAAGCAAGGGTGCCAACCAGGCATAGGAAAAACGTGACAACCAACTCTCTCCATCTTCAGCTACCTCTGTTTCTTGACTTTCAGAGGACAGAAAGGGTTCCTGAGTCCAGGGCTCTCGTGGCCCCCCAGGGGCTGCCCAGCCCAGTCCATAGGCCAAGACTGCTGCCAGCTGCAGAGTGAGAAGACATACACGGACCAGGGGTCCTGGGAGGAGTGGGGGCAGAAATGTGCCTCGCTGGCAATGCCACAACAGGGTCAGCACTAGGGCTGGGGCTGGTAGGAAGGCAGCCAGAGCAACGGCCAAGGGTCCACGGGAGCGGCCATGAGGAGAATGAACCAATGCCCATAGGGCCAGGCTGTGGGTGAACCAGGCCACAGCTGTAACACCCCCTGCCAGCACCTCCAGCCCTATGGGTCCTGGGGGTGACCCTGGTGGCAGAGCAACTGGAATGAGGTCTAGCAGCGGGAAGATAGAGAGAAGGAAGGAGGCTGCTAGTCGGAGGCGCCAGCCAGGATTGAAAGGTAGGATGTAATTGGAAGTCCTGGGGACAAAAAGAGAAGAAAGAAAAGGAGGCATGTCATGGCTGACTCTAGGCTCAGACATGCCCATCACCTCCAAATAGCTAGATGAAACAAATTCCCTTCCTGGCCTGTGCATGGCATCCCTGCCCTACTTTACCCTGGAACCCCAAAGCCTTACAGGCTTTCTGATTCATTCTTTTGCCACAGGTACTAACAAGTCTGAGTTAAGGTGGTTTGTACCATGAAGATTCTAATTAGAAAACTCACACACTTTACGCAAAGATAAATACTTTTTATAAAAGGGCCCACACAAGAGTACCCTAAATTTTTCTGAAGCATCCTTGGGTGACATGTGCTTATATGCAGCTCTTGTCTTCTAACAGGATAGCCTACATTTACAGTGCCTCAGAATACCCTGCTCCGGTCTCTCCCCTGACTGTAAAGACTGGTGTGGGTCACCAGGTGACCTCTTAGCTCAAGGGAAACATCTTTCAGTTCTAGCTATATCTTCTTAAAAATGGTTTTCATAAACAAAAGGTTTACATTAAGAATCAAATACAGGGGCTGAAGAGATGTCTCAGTGGTTAAGAGTTGCTCTTCCCAAGCACCTGAGTTCAGTTCCCAGCAGCAATGTCAGGCAGCTCACAACTGCCTATAACTCTAGCCCCAGAGGATCCTATGCCCTCTTCTGGACTCCACAGGCATGTACCCCCGACAGAATACACTTGAACACATACATACATTAAAAAAAAAAAAAATGAGCTGGGTGTTGGGGGCACACGCCTTTAATCCCAGCACTCGGGAGGCAGAGGAAGGCAGATCTCTGTGAGTTCCAGGCCAACCTAGTCTCCAGAGCGAGTGCCAGGATAGGCTCCAAAGCTACACAGAGAAATCCTGTCTCGAAAAACAAAACAAAATAAAACAAACAAACAAACAAACAAAAAAGAATGAACTACAGGCTAGAACCAGGTGTGGAGATATACACCTTTAATCCCAGCACTGGGGAGGCCAATGCAGGTGGTCAGTTTGAACTCTGGGTTCAAGGCCAGCCTGGTTTACTTAATAAGTTCCAGGCCAGCCAGGGAACTACATAGTAAGATCCTGAAAAATGAAAACAAAAACCCCAAATACAGGCTGGGTATGGTGGAGCACACCTGGTAATCCCAGCAGTTGGGAGGTGGGACCATTATCTTAAGACACAATTGGGCTATTTGACACCCCATCTCAATACCTCTCTCCCCGTAAATGGAACCAAACACAGGGCCAGGTATGATGGTACATCCTTGCAATCCTAGCACCAGTCAGGCCAGCCCTCATAAACATAACATAGAAAAGAAAAGAAAAGAAAAGAAAAGAAAAGAAAAGAAAAGAAAATTGGGACTAGATGCCTCAGCAGTTAAGAGCATGGGCTGCTCTTCCAGCAGACCAAAGGGTTCAATTCCCAGCAACCATACTGTTTCTCATATCGGTCTGAAATGCCAATTCCAGGTGATCTGATGCCCTCTTCTCTGGCTTCCTCAGGCACTGCACTCATGTGGTACACAGACATACACTCAGGAAAAATAAATAAATAAATCTTTAAAAACTGAGGGTGAGCCTGGAGACATGCTCCTTTAGTCCCAGTGCTTTGAAGACAGAAGCAGGCAGATCTCTATGAGTTCTAGGTCAGTCTTGTCTACATACTATTTCAGCAAAACAAAACAACCCACCGGAGTCTGTTATGCTCAGACTGGGTGCTGAAAAAATTTAACTGTAAACAAAATACTTTGGTTGTTTTTGTTTTCCCTCACCTTAAAACAAGGGTCTCACTATGTAGACCAGCCTGACTTCAAATAATCCTTCTGTCTCAGCCTCCAGTACAGCTTGGACTATAGGGATGTGACTCTTTGCCTAGCCAGGTCTGTACATTTTTCTTTTGAGACAGCAGAGTCTTTCTACAAATCCCTGGCTGTCCTTGCACCCACAGACATCCACCTGCCTCTGCCTCCCAAGACCTGGGATTAAAGGCTACTATGCCAGGCCTGACTGGATCAATCTGTGCAAGCTGTGGGTATCTGTGCTTACCTCTAAGCTTTTGCCTCATTCTGCAAAACAGACAGAAAAACTAACTTGGCCATTCAAGAACTAAGCATAAAATCAGGGCGAGTTTAGCACCAACATCTTACAACACTAAGCCAAGTTAGTTCTAAGGTTTTGATTTTGTTATTCTTACAGCTTCCCTTCAGCTAAGCCTGCATCTGCTTTTAGACTAGGGATAGCATAGCAGGGTTTTATGGATGGAAGTGGCGTGCCACCGGCCCTAACTTACACACAGTCATCTTTTTTTTTTTTTTGTTAAAACGTTTCTCCATGTTTGCCTCCAATTCATGGCAGCTGTGATTGGACGTTTAAAACTCTGCAAGAGGGATGCATGACGACGTTAAGGACACCCGGGCGCCACTCTATCAGTTTAAACGCCTTGTTGCACTTGACCCTCTCAACATCGCTGATTGTCAGAGAAGGTAGGTGACTTGCTCAACTCAGTGTGAACCAGTCAGCTTCGATCCTGCCTCTGCCCTACTCCAGAGACGTGGGAGCCGGGAGCCGGCGTCTCGCGGGCGGCAGTCTACCCACCTTGGGGTGCCCAGGTGGCAGGCACTGAGGACAGCGAGGAGCGCGTGGGGAAGGACGCTGAGCACCAGCTGAGTGAAGCAGTGGCCCGTGGTGTCCCCTTCCCACAGCGGGAACGGTCGCGCCGCATCGGTGCCACACAGCTGGGCCAGGAGCCGCTCCATAGACACCTCCTCGCCTGTGGAAGCCAAGAGTGACAGGGTTCGGGACCCCGTCCTCACACAAACCCCGCCCCCTAGTCCGGACCGCCCCTCACTTCCGCCTCGAGCTGGAGCCCGCCCGCTCCCGCTGTACTTCCGGGCCTAGGTAGGAAGTCTCGGTACCCAGAGCAGGCCCGTCCCTAGATCCTGGTACTGACTCTGCTGCTTCTGTCTCCAGACGCCCGAATCCAGAACTGCAAACCTAAAGACGTTCGCGCCACGTTTTTATTATCCCGAGTGTTGGTGGGGAGAGGAAGAACGCGCCGGCAGTCAGGGCGCTGGGCCAAGGCCGCCAGGGCCCCCTAGAGGCAGGAAGACGTGTCAGCGGGTGCGGCTAGCCCCGCCCACATCAAGCCTCTGCGCATGCGTACAGCTCCGCTGCCCAGCGCCTCTGCGAGCTGCTGCAAGAGCGTGGTTGTGTTAGAGCACGTTTCTGTCATTTTGCTTGCTCAGGGACCCAACCCTGTCCCAGTGCAAATTGCAAATTCATTTTTAGTGCCCTGACATGTGGAGTGCTCACTCCAACTTATCTACTGCGTACTAGCTGGTACATGCTCAGCACTTCTAATGTTTAAAGCGCTGGAAAGCCTTTAAACATGCCCGCCATAGTAGGAACCAGCACTCAGGAGGCAGAGGCAGGCGGATCTCTGTGAGTTCGAGGCCAGCCTGGTCTCCAGAGCGAGTGCCAGTGCCAGGATAGGCTCCAACACAAAAAAACCCGGTCCCAAAAAACAAAAAAAAAAAAAAAAAAAAAAAGCAAATATCTACCATAAATGTTGGAAGCAACATATAGATACTGTTGTAATTTAAGAAAAACGAGGGTAAAAGGGGGGTTTTTTTTTTTTTTTTTTTTTTTTTTTTTTTTTTTTTTTTTTTAGAGAAAGGGATCATAAGAAGGGAAAGGAGAGGGGGCAGACCCGCCTCTGGGGACAGGAGCAGCAGGAGAGAGGAAAGAGGAGGGGGAACAGACAGACAGAGAGAGGGAGAGAAAAAGAGAGAGAGGAGATGGGAGGTGGGTAGGGCCCCTTTAAAAGGGAACATCATGACTATGCACAGGTGGTAGCAGCTGAGGGAGTATCCTGTCAGAACTCCAAGGACAGGCCAGTACAGATGCCTGAATACTAACAGATACAGGTTGGTAAGGTCTGTTTTCAGTTTGGGGTGCTGTACTTGGGTGGTCAGTAAAGTAACTTTCCCCCTGTAAAACCCTGCTAAATTCTTCTGTAAAAAGCCAGGGGTAGTGTCACACATCTTTAGTCCCACCTGGGGAAGGAGTAGGGTGCAGAGGCAGACAGGTCTCCATAAGTTCAAATCCAGACTGGTTTACATGGCAAGTTCCAGGCCAGTCAATGATGCACAGTGAAACCTTGTCTCAAAAATATTTGTGGAGCCCTTCGGTTGTGGCACACGATTTTAGTTCCAGCCTGTAGGAGGCAGAAGCAGTCAAATTTCTGTGAGACTAGCCTGGATCTCAAAGTAACTTAGAGGGTAGCCAGGACTGTTTAACAGAGAAACCCTGTCTCAGGGGCAATATAGAAGAAGAAAGCCCTCATTCCTTTCCAATACTGTGTTTTATGTTCTATAAATATGTGGCAAAGACCTTTTCTAGGGACAGATGTCACACGCACAACCACAGTTAATAGAAAGAATAGACAACAGAGACAGAAGGTACAGGGAGAAAAATGGAGAATTCGAATTTGGGCTCACTCTTGGCTTAAAGAACTCCAAGAGGAAGAACCATTTTTCCTCCTCGATGAGTAGACACACTGTCTACCTCACATGAGCATCTCCCTGAAGAAAAATAGTTTAACAGATAATTGTGGGCCTGGAGAGATGGCTCTGTGGTTAAGAGCACAGGCTGCTCTGCCAGAGGACTTAGGTTCAATTCCCAGCAACCACATCGTGGCTCACAACAATCCATAATGTGATCTGTTGCCTTCTTCTAGCCTGTGGGTAAAACACTGTGTATATAATAAATAAATCTTTAAAAAGAAAACAAAAACCCAAAACAAAAACCGGATAATTGTGATATTCCCTTTGGGTCACAATAAGAAGCCCCACATTTATTTTTTTAATTTTACTTAATTTTAATTTATGCATATGTGTGTATTGCTTGCATGCATGTCTGCACCACATTCATACATTGCCTGCAGAGGCCAAAAGAGAGAGTCAGATCCTCTGGGACTGGAATTATAGACAGTTGTGAGCTGCCATGTGGGTGCTGGGAATTGAACCTGGGTCCTCTGGGAGAAAAGCCAGCACCCTTAACCACTAAACCAGCTCTCTCTAGTTCAACTGATTTTTTTTTTTTTTTTGGTTTTTCGAGACAGGTTTCTCTGTGGCTTTGGAGGCTGTCTTAGAACTAGCTCTTGTAGACCAGGCTGGTCTCAAACTCACAGAGATCTGCCTGCCTCTGCCTCCCGAGTGCTGGGATTAAAGGCGTGCGCCACCAACTCCCGGCATCAACTGATATATATTTTTTTAAGATTTTATTTACTTATTATGTATACAACATTCTGCTTCCATGTATATCTGCACACCAGAGGAGGGCACCAGATCTCATAACAGATGGTTGTGAGCCACCATGTGGTTGCTGGGAATTGAACTCAGGACCTCTGGAAGAGCAGTCAGTGCTCTTAACCTCTGAGCCATCTCTCCAACCCCAACTGATAATTTTTTAAGAGGATATTTTCCTTGGCTAACTACGAAATCTCTCCTCAGTGTTATCAAAGCACTCCACATTCCATGGCACATTGTGGGTGGCTCTACCCATAAAAGGAATAAGAAGAAAGTTGTCAAGGTGGATTCAAGAAGTGATGTGATTTTTTTTCTTGAAGATGATTGAATCAGATCCTCCACACTTCCAAAAGAAAGATGCATTTTCATGAGCTCACTGAACACAAAGCTGGCTGAATGGCTAGACTGGCTGTCTATATACTTCCTCCAGTGCCAAGGCCCAACCACACTCAGCTTCTACAAGGATGCTGGGGGTTGGAACTCAGGTCCTGCTTGTGAGAGACAAGCACTTTAGTAGCTGAGCCATCACCCTAGCCCCAAAATTCAGCCAGAATGTAACAGGTAATTTTCAACCTATCAGACATTTTCCCTTCATTAGTAACTGCACCTCTTCTCAGCTCAGGGATTGGGATAGAATTGCAAATTGGATGTAGGATGCAGGTACATTCCTTTCCCTTGGCCATAGGACTGGCTGAGGGAGGCTATGTTAAAAGAGAAGCAGTGAGGGCCTGGAGGGTTGTCTCAGAGGTTAAGACTACTGCTGATTTTGCACAGGATCAAGTTCAGTTCCCAGCACCCACGTAGCAGTTCACAACCTCCTGTAACTCCAATTTCCGAGGACCCAACATCCTTTGTTGAGCCTCTTGGAGTCTTGCAGGCACATTCTGAACACTCAGGCACATGCACACACACACACACACACACACACACACACACACACACTAAATAATTCTTTTTAATGGAGGAGGGAGTGTATTTAGTCTCTGGATATAAATCTGTGTTTAACATTTGATCAGAACACAAAACAGTTTTCCAAAGTGGTCCCCACATACTGGTCAATGCTTGTTACTGCCTTTAAAAATTTTTGGCCACCAAAATGGAGTCATATAAGTTTCCTTTGATATTAATTTGTATTTCCTTAATGTCTAATAATATTGAACATCTTTCATGCTTGCCACCAAGCTGTATATCTTTTTTGGAGAAATGTCTCTTCAAATTGCTAGGATAGTTTTATTTCTTTTAAAAAATGTTTATTTTAGATGTCAGAAGAGGACATTGTATCCCCTGGAACTGGAATTGTATGCAGTTTCAAGGTGACATGTGGGTGTTAAGAACCAAACCCAGGTCCCCTGCATGAGCATAGTACTCTTAACTGCTGGGCCATCTCTTCAGCCCCACCCAGGATAGTTTATTTCTAATTAACTCATAGTCCATAATTGTAGTCCTTTAGGACTTTATTGGGAGTACCTAAGTCTTATTGGGGGTGACTTTTGAATTTCTACTTTTTTTGGACTAAAATAATTATGGGTATGTATCTGTGGGGCTATGTACACATGGGAACATATGCCCAGGATGACCCTGGAACTGGGGTTACAGGCAGCTATGTGCTGCAAGATGTGTGTTCTGGGAACCCAAGTTGGGTCCTCTGCAAGAGCAGTGTGTACATTCAACCACTGAGCCATCTCTTCAGCCCCTGAAGGTCTACATTTGAAAGACATTGTGTTTTGTATAGAGTGATCTATAATGGCCTTACTTTTGGTTTTGAGTTAGTGAGTTCATTAAGTATATAGCAAGTCCAAGAAAGATAATAATGTTGGACATGGTGGTACACCATGGAATATATTAAATAATCCCAGCATTTGGGAGGCAGAAGCAGGTGGATCTTTATGAGTCACAGACCAACCAAAGCTACATAGTGAGACCCTGTTGATGATGATGATGATGATGATGATGATGATGATGATGATGATGAATAACTAGAGATAGAAAGACAGACATCAAATTGAGTGCTGAAATCAGCTGGAGAAGTCCTATTGAAACAGTGGGCTAGGGTTTCCAATAGGGAGAATCCCAGGCAGAGCTGTGTATACACTCAGGTAAGGCTTTCAGCTAAAAGAACAAATAGCCACAGATAGAGACAACAACTTCAAATCCAGTAGACATCGACTATGGAAGTTAAGCTGTTCAGCTGGAGTTTCCAATTGAGCTTTCTTGTCATGGAAGAACTTCTGGCTTCTTTTCCTGACTGGTAACATTTTATATCATGGGATAAACAAGATCAACATCCCTTGGAAATGATTTACCTGCTAAACTTTCTCAAGGATACAATGTTTTTACTCCAGCTGTCTTGCTATTTTCTTCCTTTCCTGTCACAGAGTGGGTAGGGATGGGGACAGCTCATCCTCAGACAAGGGATCCTGGAGAACATTT